CAGGACAATGGCACTTGTCCACTCCGGAGGGCAGAGTTCTCACGACCTCATCAGATCCTAAAAGTCCTGCCTCTCAGCACTGTTACAAATGCAATGAAACCTCAGCATGTTTTTCGGAGGGGCTAGCTAAGCCACAGCAGTATTCAAAGACTAAGACTGAAATATGCCAACGGTAATGCTGCTTCCAAGAATTTAACTCATGCTAATAAAGAGGACTATGAGGGCCTCCCACTGACTCAGCCAGCCCTGGGGATGCCACTGGCTCATAAACACCCTCCTTACAAGTAGGAACAAGATGTCCGAGGCGAACTGGAGGAACGCCTCACCCTCAAAGGTGTTTTATTTCTCCGGCATACAGGCAAACCCACTGAAGTCTCTTAGTGCCACAGTGAAAGAATGAATTCAACCCAGGAGTCTACGGTAAAGCACAATAACCCATCAAAGAGCAGGTCACCGCTGCATGTGGACAGAGGAGAAAGCCCAGGCACCTGGACGTGCCCGAAGGACACGACGGCCCTACAACTCTGCCACAGGTTTTGCATGGTGGGACTCCCTGCGAGCTTTCACTTGGTTTCAGAGTTCCGCTGCCCACTGACTTCCTTCTTTACTTTGCTAACATGAAAACAGCAATGGTGGACTGGTCCAGGCTCCTAGAGCTGGGAGATAGCCTTGCCCTGCTCACAATCTTCCAACCATCCTTTGCTGAAAATCCCAAGCGCAGACTCTCATAGAAATTTACTTCAACCACACATTCAAGACTCAGAGACAGCCTCTGCCCTCAAGGAACAGAAGCTCTGGTTGGGAAGCCAGACTAATGGCTTAAGTGCCATCAGAATGGGGTGGGACAGCGGAACCCCGGAGAACAGATCTGAAGTCCATCCGTTCCCTAATCCATTTACTCAACAACTGCACGGCAAGCATCAACTCCAGGCCAGGTGCCACGATCAAGACTTGAGGACATCAGGATGCTCCAGTCCCCAACCACCTCCCAAGTGAAATCCTATTCTATTCTTTAGCTGTATGAACTTGGATAAAATACTCAACCCCTGTGGACTGCAGTTTCCTTATCTTAAAAACTCCTCTCTCATGTGCTTCCTGAGATATATATTTGAGGAAACTTAGGCACGACCATGTCCTAGCACAGTACAGAAGATGCTCTATACATGTCCATTTCAGTGCACTGATTCTTAGAAAGGCTGCAGTGTACCCTGCCTGGAAGGGGGAGCCACCACCTCTGTCAATACAGGTGACCTGGACCACTACCAAGACTAGCTGCACTTTGCTTAAAGAAGCAGCTGTTCCTCGCTGCTTGCTGATAAAGGGCCGTTTGGTAAAAAGAACTTCACTACATGTTTGAACTAAGTCCCATTCGACGATAGGAGAGAAACAGGATGAACTACTAAAAAAACCCACACAACAGTGTCCAGGATCCCGGAGGAAAGCTACCAACCACAAGGAGCTGGTTTGGAGACTTCAGGTCTGGGTATGAATGCTGCAGGAATGATACCCTACCCCAACCCCACAACGAACAAAGCTTCGCCAGATGACACTGCCTTTCCTTTACGATAGACACAAAAGGCCTAGGGCTGGCAGAGAAGGCTCAGAGCCACAGCTGGATGTGCAGCCCAGCTCTGCCCGCCTCCTCCTTGGAGTGTGGCCTTAGGCAAGTGACTTATCTCACCAAGCCTGTTTCTTTATCTGTGGTAGTGCTCACACTACTGCCTACATTCTAGTCTCCCGTAGGCCCTGTGCCTGGCATCTGACATACAGCTACCTGCTCCTTCTCTTTTTTTTTTGCTAATAAACAGCAAATTCCTAGAAACATGCCATTTTACGATCCCTTCATAAGCGCCCCCCTCAACCTGCTTAAGAGGAGGAGGATGCCCTCTCGATGAACCCATCTGAGTAGGAACAAATCCACCACTGGACAATGACCCAAGAACGGTGCTCACTATCCCCTGCAGCCCTTGCATTCCACCTGCACTTAGAAGGGAAACTGAGGCTCAAAAGAGCGACAGGACTTGCCCATAGCTGTCTTCACCTATCTTCCTTCCCCAATGCTAAATGAATGGAAGTCCTGCTTAAATCAATCCTGATTATATAATAAAGGAAACATGGCTAGTTAATCCGGGGGGAGGCACTAGTTTCAGCTTACACAGGCACAGAGGAAGCTCACTCACCTGATCTAGCTGTTCTGGCCCAAGGGCCATTCCAGGGACCTTTGACAGGTGCTAAAGTCCAGGATGAGGGTTAGACAGGGACGTGGAATACTGAGATTCCCTGACACTGCTGCTGGGTCTGGCATGATAAGCTTACCACACTGCTCAGGGCTCGCACTGACATCCAAACTGTGGGCAACAGCCCCGGGGCCAGGGTCACTAACACCACTGGACGCTGGCGAACCCCTGTGGGTTCAGCTCCCTCACCGAGGAGACACAGCAGCTGTCGCTCTCTGGTCCCTCAGATTCTGAAGGAGTCACAGTACAGGGCACAGATGTTTACACTGTGTGTCCCACGCCGTCAAACAGGTGAGACTCTAAAATGTGCACCTAAATGTGAGCACAGTAAAACAGCCCTGTTCTGAGAGTCAGAAGAAATAAGTTCCTGTCAAGTTCTGCCAACTAATTCCACAGGGACTCTGCACAATCATCCACCTCTCTAGACGCCAGCTTCCATGTAGCTACCATCAATTTCCACCAACAGATCAGCCGAATGGGGTGGGAGGTTCCCTGGGTTTTGTTCACTGTCTATTACAACTGCAAGAAGGATACTGTATTGGTTGAAAGAATAAATGTACTAACAAAGTATAAGGAGGTCCTCTTCCATCTCTAATAGTTTAAATCAATGAAATTGCTACAGCCTTTGGAAAAATTAACGCTTTTGTGTGTGAGTTTCATTTGGAGGAGGTAAGTCTGTGTCACTATATATCAGGTTTACTTGCAACTTAAAAAATTTTGCATTAAAAAAAATATAAAGGAGGCTGAGGATGTGGCTCCATGGTAGAGGATTTGCCTGGCATGTGTAAGTCCTGGGTTCAATCTCCAGCACTAACAGTAAAACAAAACAATTTCAGGAAAAACTGGAAGCCCTGTATACTGTTGGTGAGAATGTAAAGTGGTATAGCTGCAGTGGGAAACAAAGCAATTCCTCAGAATATTAAAAATAGAATTATCAGAGGATCAAGCAATTCATTCCATTTGCAGGCATACACTCAGAAGAAATGAAAAAGGGTATTTCTACCCCCAGGCTCACAGCAGGATTGCACATAACACCCAAAAGCTAGGAGTGACCCAAGTGTCCATCAAGGAATGGATAAAGAATCTGTGCTCTACCATACAACAGAATATCACCCCAGCCTTAAAAGGGCAAAAATTTGGATACATGTCTCAACATGGATTAACTCGTTAAGACACTGTGCTAAGTGAAATAAGCCAGTCCTAAAAGGACAAATACTGCGATCCCAACTATAGGAGTCAAATTTAAAGAAAGGAGAAATGAGGGCTTTTATAGGTAAATGGACGCAACTAGAGACCATACTCATAAGTGAAATAAATCAGACCTGCATGTGTGAACAACGAATTGTCTCCCTAGTGTAAGAACCTGAAAGAGTAAATAAAACCCAAAACACACAGTAGATATTATGAAAGGGAAAGAAATTGCTCAAAGAAAGGAACAACTGGGATGAAGGAGAAAAAGAATAAAGGGGAAAAATGTATATATACATATATATGTATACAGAAGGATAGCTGGGATAATTGTACTGCTGATGGCTACTGGTTTATTGAAAGGAACAGTTCATGCCTAATTTTTTTTCTTTTTGACCAATTTTGCATAGTTGTATCTGATAATCTGAACAACTAATTTGAAGACAACAATATGCAATAAAACAACCATTGTTGAATTCCTACCATCTTGTCTAGTGAAATTCTGTATCATTTCTAATGTGGTTTTTTTTTTTTTACTCTCTTAATGGTTTGATCAATCTTGCATTCTTACATCTGGTAATCTGAGCAGCTTCGTTGACAATAACAATATGTAATATAATAACCACTGTTAATTACTATCATTTTGTTCTGAAACCCTGTATCATTTTTATTGCTTTTGCTTTGTTTTGTTTTTCTCTATGTTGTTGGTATTTTGAAGAGTCAAAGTTTTAGTTTTGCAAGATGAAAAGCCTTAAGACTGGCTGCATAACACACACTCCTGAACTGTATACTAAAAGATAAAAATTTTATATATTTTTGCCACAATAAAAAAAACCCTAAGTCTGATCAGTGGCTCACTCCAGATACATTTCAGGGCCTAAAATCCTGGCACAATCAAATAATTCCCTGAAGTTTCCCATGACACCTGTGATAGCAGGTTTTCTGTCTGTCTGTCTGTCTGTCTGTCTGTCTTGGGTAAAGGCAGCCAGAGATCGCAAATGCACAGGGTAATTCCCGGAAAATACAACGTTCTTGGCCCCAGAGGCTGCTATGGAAGGAAATGTCCGGAATGGCACCCCACAGGGTCCTAGGCAGAAGGCAATGCTTTAACACCGGAAGACACAATGATCAACAGAGAGCGCAAGTCCTCTTCCTTCCCACTTGCTGACCTGGCCCAATGACGTGGCACTTCCCTCTCCAGCATGGGCCGGCCCACACCACCCCAAAGAGACTATCCCAGCGAGCAGCACTCCACGAGCTCAGGCATGGAGAATGGGAGGTGACAAGCCCGGCAGTTACAAGACCTGTCCTGGGCATCGGTGCGGGGAAAGCTGGGGAAGCCTAGCATTCCATGGGCACCAGCACTCCAGGAACCCAGGGATAGAACAGGGAGCCAGATACTTCCCCCGGCATGTCTCCAAGCCGGGTGCGGCCTTGCCAGCTTCTACAGGACCAGCTCCACACCCTGCACAGAGGCCTCACCTTCTACAGCATGCCCCATGATTATCCTATTATCCACAGAAAAAAGCAGCCCTGTCGCCAGCCTTTGCTTGCTCATCCCCCTCCATGACTTACGATTATGTGCAGTGATATGTCTGTATGCCTGTCTCCCATGAGAGCCGGAGAGAACCATGCAGGCAGGACCATGTGGTCACGCGTATAAACCACTGCCCAGGATCCAGGGGTGATGAAGCTCCACCCACAGGCATGCGCAAAGCAGGTCCCTTGCTGCAGATCTGCGTCCCCCTCACCGGCCTGGCCACCATCTGGAGCTCGATACATAGAGGAACAGTCAGAGACGTTAGCCCCATCCAAGCTGGGCTTCTGAGTTTAGGGGGCGTTGGAGGCTAAACTAGGTATCCAAGGTAAATTCCCCAGATGTCACAACAAACGCTGCTATCAAGTATCCCCATAATGCAGGATGATGCATGTGTAGTCAGAGCTGGTCACAGACCCAGGGGACCATCTCCCTTCTCTGCACACCTTACCCCTTTTTCATGAAATGGCAATAACAAGGACAGCTGACAACATATCAGAAACCTCAGGCTTGACATTCCAAGGATATTGCACCAAAGGGAGCCAGAAGACAATCCTAGCCTCCAGGACCCACGTGCTAAACTGAAGCTAGACGACTTACATGTTTTAATATTTTCCTTTGCTTTGCTAGGGGTGAGAGGGTGTCTTCAAGTTTTCAGGAATGACAGGAACCTCCCTTTTGGGGCAAGATCTTAGGCTGACTACAACCCTCTCCTAAAACAAAAAGCTCAGGCGTGCGATTTAAGCCAAAGTTGCCTATCAGAAGAGTTCCCAGAAGTGATAAGAGATTGGCTCGGGGTGACAGTGAGTCCTGGGATGCAGGAGTCTCAGTGGGTAAAACCGAGAGGCTCCTTCTGTCTGAAAGAGCTACCCAATGTCAGCACTGTTGGTGGCTGGGTCAGGCAAGCCAGGTGGGATGTTTGCCTTCAAGGCAGCTGTAGTCTAGTAGGGGGGAAAGAAGGGAAACCAAATGTTAGATTTAAAAAACTCTCAACACCATAAAGCAAAAGCAGAAGATGCTACGAGGGCAGATGCAGGGACCTAACTGAGACCGAGGGAGGGTGTTGGAGGTGACACGCAAGTGCAGACCCGAGGCTGATGGCCTGTGGCAGTCGAAGCCTGCAACACAGAAGGGGCTCAGGCACAGGGCACAGGGGAGATGTGGATGAGGCCCAGAGAGGGCTGGTGTCCCCTGAAGCCCGCTGAGTACCAGGAGATGAGTGTGGGATGCTGCGTAAGGACCTGGGGCCCATGCTGAGCCCTGGACTCTGAGCACATGACTCACTTTACTCTCAATGCTGTTTGTTTGTCTCTGACCTTGGCTGTGCATTCAGGGAAGGAAGACATGAAGTGAATGAAGCAGGAGATGGTTTCTCACTGTGAAATTTCCGGGACACACAATCCTCCCTGCTTGTGGGAGATGCTTCAGGCAGCCTCCCCAGTGGCTTCTCTGTGCCCCTCTTAAACTGTTCCCTTGAAAGGCGTGGCTGACCCCATCTGTGCCACTGGTAGCACTGGGTGACCTTTGGCCACGCTGCCTGACCCCTGGATGACTCAGCTTCCTGGTGGCGAATTTGTGAAAGGTCCTGGCAGGAAGGAGGCAGAGAGCTATAAACAGGGCCTTCCAGAAGCATCTGCCACAATCTCCCTTTGGTTCCAGGGCGAGGCTGTGGCCAGTGAGTGTTTCTGGAATCACCTGAATGAAGGGTTTGCAGTTGCGAAGTGTTACTAGTGGTGGTTTCAAGTAGATTAAATAAACTATAATTTCTAGGCAGGCACTTTGGAAATCAGGGACAAGCTAGGCCTGGGCAGCTGGCTGTTCTCTCTGCCCTCTCCCCAGAATCGACCACAAGGGTCTTCCCAGTTTCCTCTTCAAAAGCTACTCTTTTGAGCATCCACTCTTTCCCAAAAGTTACTCTGCCCCATGGAATAAGGAGTGGAAATTTGAGACTGGAAACTTCCCATGAGATCACTCGTTTGATCTTGCCATTCTGCAGACAGACGCTGAGGCTCAGACAAGGGACGTGTCTCTCCCTGGGCTGCTCTTTCGTGGGCCTCGGCTTAGCTCAAGCCAGTAAGAATTCACCTGAAAGGCAACTACGCCCGTGCACGCACAAAAAGACCCGTGTTTGCCTTTTTTCTCCTCCTTCTGCTTCCTGCCCTCCACCGTCAAGCAACCACTCGAGCGTTGGCTGGCTGGGGACTGAGAAAGGCCCCCGGTGCTTCCTGGTCCCTTCACTTCTGGCTACTCCAAGACCCGAAATCTGTTTTCAATTTAAAGCAGCTTCTGGTGAAAGCTCAGCTTTGTAACAACTTTTGGTTTTCAAAAACTGAGAATTTCAAGAGCTTTTTTATGATTGGGCTGTCAGAAAATACGAAGATCCTTGACACCAAGCTGGAAAACAAGAACCTCACCAAGGTCAGGCCAAGCGTCACTGTCACTGGGAACCCTCTCCGAAGCCTGTGAAGGGACAGTGCTAGTCCAAGGGTAAAGGGAACCTGCCACGCCCCACGGATGCAGTGATTCCATGATAGCAGACTACAGTTTCAATTTCTCTACTGCCTCCTGAAACTTCAAGGTTTTGTTGAGAGGCATGGAAGTCGCTAAGTCCTTCCAGTGTGGAAATATATATGCATTGCTATTTATATTGTTTCTGCAGCTAAAAAGTCATTTCTGGGCTGATATTCTTCAACTGCTAGGGTCTAACTATAAATTTTCAGTAATTTTCAAAGCAATTTGAGGGGGACGGGGGTTGTGGTCTTCTTAGGTAGCCCAGGTGGGCCTCGAACTTGCAGTGCAATCTTCCTGCCTCAACCTCCCAAATGCTGGGATTATAGGCATGTGCCACTATTTCTGGCTCACAGCAAGTTAATTTACTACTTTGTCCCTCCTGGACTGCACAAACTACTCTACTAAGACTCAGATGTTGCCTAAGAAGCCAAGGTTCAAGAAAGAAAAAGTTTTTAAATATGATTCCATTTACAGCCTCACCTACATGTTAGGTTTTTAACCCTTGCACAGAAAACCTTTGCCTTCTGGGGGGCACCTCCTCAAGCTCTCCTCAGGACCAAATCTTTCTTTCATCCAAGATTCATCCCGGGGGTCAGCAGGTCTGTGTTCCCCGCCCCCATCACTGCACCAGCCCCTTAGAAAACTGAGAATCAGTTTTCAGAAGCGATAAAACTTAGCAGGTTCTAATGCTAAGGTGACACAGCTGGGAGGAAAGCACCTCAGGCCCTAGACCAAGCCCAGTTGAGAGTCTTCTACCCTGCAGGCAGCTCCTCACAGTGAGGAAGAGGCCTGGAAGGCTGTGTAGCTGTACCTTTACCTTCTCCCGAAACGACAAGGAAACCTTCACAAACCTGAGCCTCCAGAACAGGCCTCAGCAGTGCACGGCTCCAGATCCATTTCTGTTCATTGGAAGGCACAGCTGTCACCTGCCCTGTCTCTTTCAAGACTCTCTCTTCATCCTACCAGGCGTGACCTGGGCCGGTAAAGGTCACTCGGGCAAACCCTAAACCTCCACATGACCACATTTAATTTTTAGCTGCCTATATGGATGCTGGCCCGGCTGACATTTGCTGCTCATGCCACCCATTAATTATGAAACGATTATGAGCAAAAATGCCTCTCACAGGACAGCCTGGCCCCCTTCCTTCTTCTGTTCCCACCCTCCTCTGCTCCTCAGCTCTCCAGTGAAAATTCCCACCCGGGAGGAGGCTGGCTTCCTGGCAAGTCACCAGCCAGTCCCCGATGGGAATAGGAGGGGGAGGAGGAGGAGGAGCCTGGAGACCCCAAACCACAAATGCTCTCCCAGCATGGCTCCGAGCAGAAACCAGAAAGCAGAGCCTCAGGGATACCAGCATCCTGAAGATGGCCAGGCCATGACCCACGGTGACCTCCTCCGCATCAGAGACTCCACCGCTTTGTTCCAACACGTGTCTCCTCTAGGGCTATGCAGACACGGGGATGTCATGGCACTTCCCAGGAGCCCTTCGCAACTTTCCCCACCAGGTCCAGGTCCCAGAGGATGGTTCGGCACCCTTAGAGGAACCATTCCTTGATACATCTCCTTTCCCACGAGGGGAGGCCCCTGTCTCCCAGCACATGAGGTCATAACCTGCCGGCCCCAACCCTAAACTAACAGTTAGTAGTGATGACCAGGGGCCAAGTTAATCTTCACAAATGCCCCGAGAATCTCCCTACGTAGGAACATCACTGTGAATCAGCAAGGTAACCCTGCCAAGCTACCAGTCAACAGACAGGGCCAGCGACAGTGACCAAGGAAAGTGACCTGGACCACTCGGTTAGACACACCCAGCCGGCACGCTCGCGGGCAGCATCCTCTCTCCTTTCAAAAGACTCTGCCGCCTCTCGGTCTGACTCTTGGGAGCCGACCATTTACTGGCCACCCTAAATCTTTAACCCAGGCTTCTGCCAACCTGGGCACACCCAGGATCTGCTTGCCCGAGTCAGAGCAGGGGGCGCCCTGCAACCAAGACACAGCCTAAGTCATAAGCCAAGCCTGGCAAGCCCTGGACGTGCCTCCATGTCTGCCCCATGTGAGCCCCGGAGGGGAAGGCAAGGCAAGGCACCAGCAAAACCTCCAATCTGGGTGCTATGGGAAAATCAGGACCAGAGGGAACAAAGACAAAGGCATCAACGTCTACAAAGAAAAGCAAGCAAGCAAGGAAAGCATACACGCGAGAGTAAGGTGAGAAAGAACCCAGATGTCATATAAAGTCAGGACCAGCAGTCAGTCGGCCCTGCTCCCCTGCAGCCCCCTCCTCAGACTCTCAAAAAAAATAAGAATGAACATATAAAATGCTAATTCCACAGAGGCCCCACAAAACAGCTTGGGGCACACTGCTGCTGTCCCCAAGGGGGGGCGGGTCCTTCTGAGCATGCTCTGACATCACATCTCCTCCTCAGTCACCAAGTGAAGCGGTGGTGGCGGCAGACAGCTGTCCTTGTCCCCACACAACAGATGGGAGACATTGTGTTACAGAAGTCAGATGCCCAAGGCCACACACGGCCACAAGAAATCCTGTAGTCCGCGGAGAGAGAGCGGATTTTCCATCCAATGGGTCATCTTATCCCTTTCAAAGGTTCAACTTGGACAATAAACACAGTGACCTACACCTGCGCAGAGTGTTTCCTGAAAACCTGGCTTTTTTTGTCTGAGATGCAGTTAGCAGACCTGAAAGGCAGAGGGGGAGGCAGAATTTCTCTTCCTAGTTTCAGATGAAAGAACTGTACC